AGATCCTTCATAAATGTTGGTTTAACTTGACACAATTGAAAAATTAAAAAAAAAAAGCTTTATTTTGGGAGCATCTGGGGACATCAGAAGATCTACTGTTGAAGATTCTGTCCTCAAGGAGAATCAGGCTGGAACTGGAAGGAAAACACGGCTTTTTCAGGGAATGCAGGCAGAAGTCCAGGAGTAAACTGCACTTGATTGGCTAGGTCTCCAGAGCCAAAGAAATTCAATAAGACTCATCTGGGCAGTTTCCTTAAATGTAAAATAAAGGGCTTAGCTTTGATGGCTGTGATGGGTCCCTCTAAATATAAATACACAAACAGACATAGGATAAATTGAGATAAACAATAGAGGAAAGGCACCAGAATAAAGGGGAATCAGGAAAGGTTTCTTGTAGAAGATGGGATTTTAGTTGAAACTTAAAGGAAGTCAGGGAAGCCAGGAAGTGGAGATGAGGAAGGAGAGAGTTCCAGGTATGGGGAAAACCAGTTAAAATGCCTAGAGTCTAGGGATGGAATCCCTTGTGTGAGGACTTCTGGGGGGGGGGTGGGTTAGTAGGGTATAAGAAGACTGGAAAGGCAGGAAAGAGCTGTTGTGAAGGTCTCTGAATGCCCAAAAGGGAATTTTATATTTGGTTCTAAAAGTAATAGCTGGTGCTTATTGAATGAGGAGGAGGGGGTGATATCACATACGACTTCCTTTCACTCATTTTGTACTTGAGATAAATTGGCTTACTTGCTCCTCCCAAACTTGAGATCCAGTCTCCTGACTTCATAAAGTTTGTCTCTGAAGCCTCTACTTCTGTCATTTAGATTCTCTTCAAGGCCCGTTTCTGGTGCCATCTCCTATAGGAAGTTATTCCTGATTCCATTAGTAGGTGCTTTCTCTCTCTGTCATAAGTTATAACGTATGTGCGATATGTATATATTGACATGCTATATCCCTTCAGTGAAATGGAAGCTCCTTGAGGGTAGGACTGGTTGGGTTTTGGGTTTTTTTTTTTTTTTTTGCCTTTGCCTTTCTAGTGACTCACACATAGTTGTTGCTTAAAAAATGCTTGTTTGCATAGATTAGCTATGTGCAATGAGGCTGTTGGATTAGAATTAGTATTTCTTCACCTTACTTTCTGTCATGGATACCTTTGGCAATCTGGTCAAACCTTTGGACTCCTTGCTCAGAATAATGTTTGTTGCCCATACTTATAATGGAAAGAATTGCTAAACTTCATTTATAGGTTAATGAAAAAAAGATGCATTTTTCTCCCATTCAAGCTCACGACCTTGATGGTTCCTTCCAAATATAAATAAACTAACACACACACACAGAGGATAAATTGAGATAAACAACAGAGGGAAGGCATGTGATTGGATGTCTTTGAACTCCAGGTTAAAAATGCCTCAATGAGACGACCTCTAAGGCATCTCCTAGCTCCAGATTCTCTGTTCATATGATTTGTTCGTATGATTTGTGATATGAGGAGTCTAGAAGATAAGAGACTGGGGGTTTTCCTCCAGAAGCTAGAGTCACCAGAGGGACCCCTAAGCCCTTGGGTGGTACCAATGATGGCAGGTAGCATAGGCAGTGGCTACAAAGCTTCTCCCCCAGTTTATAACTTTTTTTCTTGGCTTTGAATCAATAAGCATAAAATCCAGAAAATTTGACACAACCTATGCCTATATAGGGATTTCCCCCCCTACTTCCACACAGTTTCAAAAGGTCTCTCCCTCCTAATTCTTTCTCCATAATAATAATGAAAGCTCTGCCATTGAATTCCCCTGGAGCCCAATTAAAAACTGACTCCTGACCATCAAGGCAGAAAGAAACATTTAAGAGCAGCCTAACTATTCTTGGCTTCAGCTTGAGATTGTGAAGCATTGGGAGAGTGTTCACTATTAAAGTCACAGAAATAACCTATCAGACCAACTTCCTTCTACCTGATGAGGCCTGGGATTCACATGAAATCTTTAATCCTCACACTTACTCTCTTTATGAAGAAGTTATATTCAATTAGAAGAAAACAGTTTCAAACAGATTGAATCATTTCCAGCCCTCTGAAAATATGCCTTTTTAAGTCAAGCAGACCATAGTGTGCCTACCACTTCTCCAAATGCCAAAGATAGTTTAATTGGGGGTAGTTCTGGAATGTGGAGAGTTATATTTTGCAATAGCCCCAATCTGAATTTGCAGGCCATATGTAGGACAGCTGACCCATCTTTTATGGCTGACTGCCCCAAGTCAATTATGATACAGATGGTAGAAATAAATGAATTAACAGAAACCACATATTGTCCAAATTGAACAGGCCCCCAGAGGCTTTCTAGTCCAATATCTACAATATCCCCAAGAAGTGGTAATCCATATTTTGCTCGAAGGCCTCCAGTGAGAGGGAATCCACTAGTTCAGGGGTGGGGAACCTGTAGCCTCGAGGCCACGTATGGCCTTCTAGGTCTTTGGGTCCTTGGCCTTTTGACTGAGTCCAAGTTTTACAGAACAAATCCTTTCATTAAGGGGATTTCTTCTGTGAAGTTTGGATTCAGTTTAAGGGCTGCACCTGAGGACCTAGAAGGCCACATGTGGCCTTGAGGCCTCAGGTTCCCCACTCCTGCACTAGGCAGTCAGTCAATGAACATTTATTAAGTGTTTAGTATGTTCCAGGCACTCTAATAAGCCCTGAGGATACAAGAAGAGGCAAAATCATGGTTCCTAAACTCAGGATCTCACATTCTAATGGGACAGACCACATGCAAAAATCTATGTACATATAAAACAGATCCATATTCATATAAAAGGGAGGTAATCTCAGGAAAAAGGAACTAGTAATGAGAAGAGGAGGACAGGAAACCAGGAAAGGCTTTTTTTTCTTTTCTTTTTTATTATATAATTTGGTTTTATATTACTTTCATTTCTAAATATAGCCCTTCCTCTTCCCTACCTCTCCAAACCATCTCCATTAATAGGAAAGGATTCTTACAGAAGATGAGATTTGAGCTGAGTTCTGAAGGAAGTCATTACCTTCCTCTTATGCCTTACTCTAGAAAGAAAGTTCATGCCACACTGTGGGTACCCAAAAAGTACTTCAGAAGAATTGGCACTGTATCCTTTCCCTGCTGAATTCTTTCCCGTTGTATAACACCCAGCTCAAAAGGCCCTTCCTCCAGTAATCCACCCCTGATCTTCCAGCCAATAATCACCTTTCTAGCTTTGGCCCTCAAATAGTTCTTCTGCCTCTTTCAAGCATTTACCATATATTGTTTTGTATTCCAGGCCCTAGTGCGTGCGTCTACCTCTTTGTAATTTCCATGAGGGCACCAGCACGTACACAGCTCACAGTAGGTTCAAATGTTGCCCCTGAGGAGAAGGCAAGGGAGCTGAAGAGAAAGACCCTTGGCCTAGGGTGCAAGGGACCTGATTTCTCTGTTCTTGGCTCTGCCCCCACCTACCTGCATGACTGTGGCTCTATGGGGCTGTTACCTTATTTATAAAATGAGGGAGTTGGCTAGAAAAGACATTCTCTAAGATTCCTTCCAGATCAAAATCCTTCCGTCTTATGATAATAGCAAGGGGTTTGGACTGCCTGGATCCCAGCTACACTTAGGTTTACCATGTTTATAACACCTGTCCCTTTCTCTATGCCCATACAGTCTAATTCAGACTGTAATCTCCTTTTGCCTCGACTACTGCGGTAGCCTCTATATACACACACACACACACACACACATATACATACATACCCACACACGTGCACATATATGCACATATGCCATATAATGCATGTATGCTCACACATATACGTATATTTGTCTTATCATCGCCTTATGTTTTTATATCATCTAAATTTCACCCTATAACCCTCCCCCTCTCTTTACCAGAGTCATCATAATTGTAATTAGTCTCACTGCCTCCAGTCTTAGAGGACTCAAGTTCAAATGCTGCTTCTGTCACTTACTATTTCAGTGACCTTAGGCAAGTCCCAACCTCTCTGGGACTCAGGTTGAGGTGATTAGTTGAAATGGTCTATGAGATCCCTTTGAATTCTAAATTGACGATACTATATTCTCTCTCCAATATAACTTTTGCACAGATATGACATTAATATTTCTAAAACACAGACCAGATCAGGTCATTCTGCTACTGAAAAATTTTTAATTGTTCCATATGGCCTCTAGGGTAAACTGCCAGAGGTTCAGCCTGCTATGTAAAGCCTACCCCACTCTGACTTTCATTTACCTTTCCAGTCTTATTTTCCTTCACTTGTTCTCTGCTCTGCTTTTTCTGGTATTTGTACAAGGCTATTTGACTTCCCTTGTATAATGGCAAAGGAGCAGATTGGCCCTTGGACAAGGGATCCGCCATGTCTAGATTCCATTCCCACCCTTTTCTTAGTTTCGTAGAACTCTCTATACTCCCTCCCACATATCACTATGAGCTTCACAAACCGTCTTACATGATCTTTCCTTTGAGCTTCTTAGCAGCCATCACCAATATAATTTTCTCTATTTTCATGTAAGGAAACAATCAGAGACATTAGGTGATTTACTTATTGTCACACAGCTAAGTTTTAGATTTGAACAGAATTGAACTTAATTCTTTCCAGCTCCAGGTCTTAACACTGTTCTTTCCTTCTCTGCTGCATCTGAGAGATTAATTTGAGTTCAGGTTGATAAAAGCTAGAATCTGGGCTAAAGAAAGAGGGGTAAGGAGACAGCATTCTGGGTAAGGAGAATGACCTCAACAAAGGCTTGGAAAGGAGAACGAGCCTCATATGTTCAGGAGAGACCACAACATATGGTCCCAACTGAGTTATGTCTTTTGGTTGAAATGACTGGAATAGGGTTACCCAAAAGGCACCTCCAAACACGGGAGCTTGGGACCTGCCAAGCTATAATCTCTCAGGCTTGTTTTTCACTTCAGTCCTAAAGAACAGCTCCATAAACAGGCAGGCAGATGTGTTTGAAACAGCTCTGCAGAATTGACACTGGGCATATCTGCTGTGTACATACTTAGCCTCCAGCGCCAAGGCAAACACTCCGGCAGCCTCAGGGGCAGCGGCTGATGTTCCCGAATGCCGCAAAGTACAGTTGCCATATAAATCCGTGGTTGCCTAGGAGGGAAGGGGGAAAGAGTGATTAGAACAGACAATGACAAACCGAAATGACTACCTGAAAGCTGAGCACAACAGACAAGTGAGAGAGGTGGGGCTTTTTGGGAATAATTTAACGTCTTAATCACTCGGTCAACATTTCCTTTCCTGCTGTGAAAGAAAGGTTTGCATTTCTAGTAATAGAAAATGAAATATGCCAAATTTCAAGGGTATTTAGTTTGATAGGGCATCAAAATCAGCTAGTAAAAAGCCATTTGTATGGTGCTTTAAAATTCATGAAGCACTTTACAGAGATTATTTCATTTAAGCCTGCTCTGTGAGATAGATACTATAAGGATTTTTATCCCCATTTTATAGATGGAGAAACAGACCCAAAGAGGTAGAATGACTTGCTTAGGGCCACATAGCTAATATGTGTCAGTGGTAGGCTTTGAACAAAGGTCTTCCTGACTTCCTGTCCAGCACTTTATCGGTCATACTGCCTCTTTAAATCAATTGTCCACAAGAAATCCAGAAGGAAAATCTGCTTTCTTCCTAGTTGTTCTGTGTCAAGCCAACTGACTAAGAGGGTAGTCTAGGTAAGTCATCTTGGGAAGGGATCTAATAAGCTGAGTTTCAAAGAATTTTCATACAGAGAACTGAAACCTACCCCCCTTCCCAATTTGAAAGACCTTATTTTAACTAAGGTTATAGATAAGGTTTCAGGCATCCTATCTTTTTTGATACTCTATAGATGATTCAAGTAGACCTCATGTTTTGAGGGAAAAGTCCATCTAGGGGCTCAAGAAACCCTTGACTGAAGAGTCTCAGGAAAAGCAACTTATTCAGTAAAGTGACTGGGTAATGGGAAATGCCCAGGGAAGTTCATTTTGGTCTGCAGGTAGAATTTTAAAGAAATAAGGAATATTTCACATTATGTGAAATTATCCAGGAAAGAATAATAACTTAGAAAATTTGAGAGACTTCCCTTTCCTCTTGTTTCTTCCTCCCCTCTCTCCCCTTTCCCCTCCCCAAAATCTTGGTAAAAATGATGATGATGCTAACATTTGGCAAACAGTGTTTAAAGGGGGTAGAGGCATCCCCCCTGCCACACTTAAACAGTAATTCTGTTTCTGAAGTCACATTGCCTTCATGATTAATGGATTTGTGAAGTGTCTATAAAGAACAGCATAGTTCCAAAGATGTAGAAATTAGAAACCTGTGGGGACAAAGGCTTCAATTTTTCATTTTTTTCTCTTTAACCCAACAGCACTCACAATATAAATGCCTATCACTAAGTTGATAAGCATGACTCTGAAAAGGTACAAGCACAGAAATAATAATAGCTCATATTTACACAGAGCTTTATTGTTTCTCCTCTCAACAATTCAATGAAGTAGGTAAAACAATTATTATTGTGCCCATTTTATAGATGAGGAAACTAAGGCTATCCAACGTTGAAGCAACTTCCCCCAAGGTGACACTGTTCCAGGGCCAGTGCCAAAGCCCTCATTTTCTGACTGCACGTCTATTTCATCTTTCTAACAAGTCTCTGGAGTATACACATTTCTATTTCTAAATCCAGCCTGGAAAAAGACAAACATCCTGGTATAGATAGGTAACAGAGATGATTCAAAATCCTTTATTTTCTTTTATTTTTCCACGCCTGCTGGTTAGCAAATGATCGAAAGCTTGTTCCTCTCCCGTTAATCTTCACTTCCCATCAGACTCCATAATAAAGCTGCAATGCTAAATCTGTAATATCTCAATTATACTCCTAGCCAACAAAAGCTATGCCAGGAATGCAGGATCAGCACTTTGCAGTAAAGTGAGCCCCTGGTTCTGAGCTGCAGCCCCTGCATTGATCTCTTGGATGTGAAAGCTGCTCCCTCTTTTGCAATAACATCAGTGTTAGAACACAGTCTCCAAAAGCCTCCGTTCCACCCCCCAAATCTGAAATCTGAGATTCTTGTAGTGACTTGGACCTGTCTGCCTCAGTGTTTTATGCATCTGGAGACAAGCCAGACAAACCTTTCTCTTGGAGATTTATCTTCTGTGAAAAAACAGCATTCCACTCACTGAATACTGGTAAATGGACTCCTTTTCGAAGAACCCCCTACCCTCCTCCCAACCCCCACAACCCACTATGTAATTTGCTTGAGGAAATAGAAACATTGCTACATGGGTAGATCTGATAAATATAACTGTATTTTTTTGGAGTCAAAGAATGTTAGGAAATCACTGAATCAAAACGAAAAGCAGTAATTCAGAATAGAGACGTGGAAAGAGAGCTAGATCAGCATCCAGAAAACTTAAGGTCTGGTTTTGACTCCTTTGACCTTGGATAAGTACACCTGCTTCAAGAGAAGCAGCTTTGTGTACAGATGGAGTGCTGGAGATGGAGGCAGGAAGACCTTGGTTCAAATCTTGCCTCAGACCCTTGCTAGATGTATGACCCTGAACAAGTCACTTAACCTCTCTGAGACTCAGTTGACTTTTCTGTAAAATTAGAGGCAGCTAGATGGCTCAGGGGATAGAATGCTGAGCCTGAAATCGGGAAGACCTGTGTTCAAATCTGGCCTCAGACACTTACTAGATGTGTCAGCTGGGCAAGCTACTTAACCTCTGTTTGCCTTAATCCATTGGAGAAGGAAATGCCAAACTACTCTAGTATCTTTGCCAAGAAAACCCTGTGGATAGTACTGGCATGCTATGGTCCACAGGGTCCCAAAGAGAAGGACATGACTCAATGATTAAACAACAACAAAAAAATGGGGCAGTTAGACTTGCTAAATCTCTAAGATTCCTTCTAGCTCTAAATCTATGATCCTATGACCATTTTGTGCCTCAGTTTACTTATCTCCAAAATGAGGGTTTTGGACTAAATGAGTTCTAAGGTCCTTACCAACCCTAAGCCTCTCTGATTCTATAATCCTACAGTGTGTTCCAAAACACTTCATATAGCTTTAAGCTATTAAAGTTCTTTCAAAAACCTTTTCTAGCTTTGTGACTCTAGGCAAGTCACTTATCCATCTGTCTGCCTCAGTTTCCTCAACTGTAAAATGGGGATCATAATAGCACCTACCTCCCAGGGTTGTTGTGAGGATCCAATAAGATAATATCTATAAAGCACCTAGCATGATGCCTGGTTATTTAAAATTATTCAAAGCTTTAAACTGCACAAGACTTTTGGAACACCCTGGTTTGGCTGAGAAGACACGTATTTACTAAACTTTTTCATAAACATTGGCAATATCTCTCTACTTCAACTTTTGCTTGTCTCCTCAGGATTCTGTATCTCTAATAAGCAGGGTGTGTGCAAAACAAGAAGAAAACTGGCAATAAATGTCCTAAGCCTCTGATTGGCTCAGAGCAGTTTGGTGTATGATGGAATGAAATGAGTTATCCCTACAAATCTGTCATTGGGGAAGAGATTAAAAACCCAGAGTTTCCTAACAAAAGACAATTGTGCTGTTAACATTTTTGACATGTGATGCTCCATCTGGTAGAAGCATTTGCTTTTCGCCCAAGATGCAAACCTCAAGTTCCCACTTTGCTAGTGGAGTATCAAAAGGAGCTGGTAAAATGCACAATGTTATCCTCACAGCATCTGTTTCATTCTTTAAGGAAAATGGTTCACTTTCAAGAAAAGTGTCAAGTAGGGGAAGATAATGGTAATATCTTAGACTGCTGCACAAAAAAAAGAAATTATAACAGCTTTGTTTCAAAGAACTTTCATGTATGTCCTTGTATTTTAACTCTATTGATAGAAATGATTATTCCTGGACATTTTTTAGCCATGCATCTATACTCCACTTCAGGTCATCATCTCCACCTCCCAAGCACCTGGGGGGACTCTACCTCTAGAACCAGTTTGGGCTTCCCTAGGCCAGCTTTGGTCTCTCTTGCCTGGCTCCAGGCTTCTAGGAAATTTCTGGACATGCCATTGAGGGCTTATTCCACCTTCCCTTTTAGCTCCTTCCCTTCCCTTTATGTGTGACCTTCCCTCAGAATAGAAATGTCTTCACTGACCAACCGCAGTTCCAGAGGCTGAATAATGAAGCATACTACTTGCCTTCTGGCAGAGAGATGATGGACCCGGAGTGAAGGCCGACATATATTTTTTGGACCTGGCCAATGTGGGAGCTTGTTTTGCTTAACTATGTACATTTGTTATAAGGGTTTTCGTTTTCTTTTTTTTTCAATTGGGGGGAAGGTGGGAGGGTGAGAATATAGATTTTTGCTAATGAAAAAAATAAATAAAATTCAAAGTAAATTATATTTTAATAACGTAAATATTATTAAACACATTTAAATATAATAAAATTATACCACAGCATTATATTATATAACATCATGTTATAATAACATAATATAACAAAATAACATGTAAAATAATAATAATAAATATAAATAAACCTTTAATAAAAAGAATGCCAATTCCTTGAGTTCAGTAGCTATTTTGACTCTATCTTGCATCCTCTGCACTTAACACAGTGACTGGTATGTAATAAACACTCATATAAATGCTACCTCTATGTGTATGTCTATCTATCGATTCCCATTTCATTGATGGGGAGACTGAGTCTCAGGGAGGTTAAATGGTAACACAGTGAATCAGTGGCAATCCCAGAATTAGGCCGAGGTCCTCCTGAGTCTCCAAGCAGAGGAAGTTCCTTTTGCAACATACATTCTGCACTCACCACACCGGCTTCGGGGTTTCTCTTCCTCCCATTGCTAAATGTAGATGCTAAGGTAGAAGAGCAGCTTTCATCATACAGAGCGGTCCGGCCATCGTTGATGGCGGAGTTAATGGAGATGGTCCACATGCTCGAGGCATACCCATCACAGTTGCAGTCATCGTAGCTGCCTCCATCCCCGGAAGCCCACACGTAGATGCTGCCTTTGCCCCCACGGCCCTGAGAGAAAAAGGGGGAGAGGATGGATATGTGACAGTTTCTAACACAGTCTCTTACAGAGGACCTGGTAGCTATAGGCCAAGGGAAAGGGGTTCCAAGGGCTGGTGAGCGGGCCCAGTTTGAATGAAAGTCCGTTTAGCATCTGAATGACCTTTGTGGTTTGAAGATTTATCTCTGGTTAAAGACCAAAGCCCTTGCTCATGGAAGGATCTCTTGTCTTCCATGAAAAAAAAAACTTTCTCTGTCAGGTCCCAATTTATCTGAAAAAATTATTTGAATATGGGAATTAAGTCAGGAATATGAAAGATGGAGATATGGATGAGTCTGTTGGAAAGTATCTCAGAGATGACCAAATCCAGCTCCCTCACTCAATGGATGAGAAAACTTAGGCCTCAACTGTAAAAGCACCCTCAGCTGTAAAATGGAAATAAAATAGCACCTACCTCACAGAGTTGTGAGGATAAAAAGTACTTAGCACAGTGCTTGGCACATAGCGGGCACTTAACAAATGCTTTCTTCTTCCTTTTCCTTTCCCAAGGTCACATAGATACCAAGTATCTCAGTCAGAGCTCGAACCCATATTCTCTGTCTATAAATCCAGAGCACTTTCCATAAGTAACATTTGACCTCTGTCCTTCTTCAAACCCAAATCTGAATGGGCCAGATCATTCTTTGGAAGGAAACCCATTTACCCATGACTTTGGTCTTTCTGTGTAATTTTTAGTTGAATGAGGAAGGAAAGATCTCACATTAAATATAGGCGCAGGCTTAACTATTCAGTTGGGTTTCTTTCAGCCCTTAGCAAGAGTGGACCAGTTGACTAGGGCAGAATGTCCTACATTATTAAATGTGGTTACTGTATTGGCTGTTTTTCTTTGTTACCAGAGGAAGTTCGGTTTGGAGGGCTGGGGACTGGTATTTCCAGAAATGACTGTGATGTAAAAACAAAGGCATCAATAAGGCATTTTTTTAAGTGAGTTAGTTGTTGAAAATTAATGAGCAGAAACACATGATTCATAGTACAGGGACTTTCCAAGAAAGAAAAAGTCTCTTCTAAAAAAGAAGAAAACCATTCTAGCCACTGCTGTTGTGCTTTTCTGTGTGATTTATAGATTATGAATAGCCCATTTTAAAAAAAAATCACTTTGGACAAAAGTGGGTGAATGGGATTCTCTTCGCTCTTTTTCTCCTGCATGATCACATGGAACGATTACAACATTAAGCAAATGGCTTATTGTGGTGGAATAGAATCTACATTCAGGTTATGGTTTATTTGATCCCAAACTCACGATTCCAGAATATTATTTCAGTAATCCTTTAAAGATCTTAAGGGGAAACTTGAGAGTGGAAAAGTCACTACTTCTCAACCAGGCTTACGTCCCTCTCCTCCCTCTAGGACTGCACCTAAGGTAACTGGATGTCCTAAAGTTTGCATCCGATTCTGATAATTTCTTATTTAAAAGGGAGAGCAGAGGACCGTGCTATATGAGCATATACAGAGTTTAATTTTACAGTCCCCCAAAACTTAAAAAAAAATCAGTTTGACTCATACTCATGACATTTTGTTGTTGTTCAGTTGTTTTTCAGTCATGTCCAACTCTTTGTGATCCCATTTGGGGTTTTCTTGAGAGAGATTCTGAAATGGTTTTCCATTCCCTTCTCCAGCTCATTTTATAGGTGAAGAAACTGAGGCCAACAGGGTTAAGTGACTTGCCCAGGGTCACACAGCTAGTAAGTGTTTGAGGCCAGATTTGAACTCAAGAAGATAAGTCTTCCTGTCTCCAGGCCCAGCACTCTATCCACTGCACCACCTAGCTGCTCTACTCATAATATACATGCTCCTTGATATTTATGCCCTATTAAAGTCTGACTCCTACATTTCACAGTGGCATGGAGGCGACACTGGATCATTGAAGTCTTAACCAGATTGGTCTTTGGAAGACTCAGTCATTGGGGCATATATCAACCAATCAATCAAAAAGGCATTTATTAAGTGCTTACTATGGTGTTAAGCCCTGCGTCAAATGTTGGGAATACACAGATAAAAATGTAGTAGTCTCTGCTCTCAAGGAGTATACATTTTAACAGGGGGGACACTGTGTACATATTTAGTCAGTCAGTCAGTCAGTTAACTAGTGTCTATAAGTGCCTGCTCTGTACTAGGCACTATGTTGAGCTTTGAGGATATGAAGAAAGGAAAAGATATAGTTCTTGTTTTCAAGGAACTCACAGTCTGATAGGGGAAACAACACGTAAACAGTGAGATACAAACAAGTTATAGACAGATTGAATTGAGAGTAGTCTCAGAGAGAAGTCATTAAGATTAAGAGAAGTCACTTAGACAGGGAAAAACTGGCAGAAGGTGAGACTCTGTAGCTGAGACCTGAAGGAACCACATAGCTGGGAGGTAGAGATGAGGAAGGCAAGAGTTTCAGACATGGCGGACAGGCAGTGGAGGCAGGAGGAGTAACAGCAAGGGGGCAGGTGTCACTGGATGGCAGAGTACTTCGAGGAAAGTAAGGTGTAAAAGACTGGCAAGGGCCAGGTTTAAAGGGTTTAAAAAGCTGAACAGAGGATTTTATATTTGATCCTGTAAGTGAGAAGGAGTCACTGGAGTCCATTGACTGGGGGTTGACATGGTCAGACTCGTGATTTTAAAAGATCAGGTTGATAGTTGAGTGGAGGTTGGACTGGGGTTGAGGAGAGATTTGTGACAGAGGCCAAACGGTTGACCATTGCAATGGTCCAGGCATGAGGTGATGAAGATGATGAATGTGGTGGAAGGGTTTGCCGTGACAAGGAAACAGGCCACCTCTTAATGGAAAATAGGGGGGAAGGAGGAGATATTTGCAGAAGACATCTGAGTAATATGAGATGAGAAACGGGAAAAAGAGAGCTCTCTAAGAATGGTCTCAATTTTTTCAGTGACATATATGAGATAAGGTTCTCCACTGAGAGCAAATGGGGAATGGGGAGCTATTGGAAAAGCTACTGTGGTAGGTGGGATAGTGAATCAATTAGGGAGATACAAAAGGATTACGTTGATGTAATGTGTGTGTATATGTATACATGTACCCATGTATACTTACATGTATTTACTTATGTATGTATAATATATATGAAGTTTAGCTTGGAAGGTCTTATCATAGTATACTAACATTTAAAGTCTTTTAAAACTCAGGGCTCATCTCTATGCTATGATAAGGCACTGGGGAAAAATGCTTTTACCTTCCTTCTGTCTCTCAACATATGCATGAGTGTACACACTCACACATACACACACACTCACACACATACACGTCCACTGCCACTAAAATTGCTTATGCTCTGAGGCTTTACATTTTTTCAGCCTCATCAACCTCTTGTTCCTTTTTGACCTAACCATGGGCCTTCCCGGGAGAATGTTTCAACCAGGATAAGGTTGACTTTCACTCCCAGGGGCTTCTTCCAGTCAGCCATTGGCCAAGAAGTGAGGGGAGAGGTCCAAAATGCAAACCATTCTATTCCAGAAATGCTTTTGCCTGCCCTGTTTGCTTTCAACGTGGAGGGACAAGTAAAAGCTGTGAGCAGAGCATTTTTCTAGCACGGTTTTTAAAATGCTGAATAAATATGAGCTATCACTATCATCATCTTCAAGATGGGCTTCTGGGTAATGACAGATAAAGCCCATAGGTAGGTAGCATTCTAAAAACGCTGTAACACATTTGTGTGCCATTTTTCCTGTAGCCCCTCCAACATTTGTCATTTTCCACTCCCCTCCTCCCTTTTTTGGGTCAACTTTGCCAATCTGATGGGTATGAGGTGTCAGTCAGTCAATAAATATTTATTAAATGCCTACTAGGTGCCAGGAATTGTGCTAAACACCGGGGATACAAAAAAAGGCAAAAAACAGTCCCTGCCCTTAAGGAGCTCACAGTCTAAGAAGCTGGGGGAGGGGAGAGGTGCAACAAGCAAACAAATAAGTACAAACAAGCTACATTCAGGATAAACAGGAAATAGAGAGGTTGGGAAAAAGCCTTTAAGTGGGGATTTTAGGTAGACTCTCAAAATTACTTTAGTTTGAATTTCTTTAATTATTAGTGATTTAGAACATTTTTATATGGCTATTGATAACTTGGATTTCTTCCCTTGAGAATTGACTATTCATGTCCTCTGACCATCTATTAATTAGAAAATGGCCTTTATGAATTTAATTATCTCCTTATATATCTTGGAAATGAGAATTTTATCAAAGAAACTTTCTGTAAAAGTTTTTTTCCTAACTTAGTTAATTATTTTCTCTTTCTAACAGAGAGAAGATGGACTTAATTTGCAGAATAAGACTTAAATTTTTGAACGTGGCCAAGGTGGAGATTAGTTTTATTTGAATACATATGCATACACACATTATTACAAGGGTTTTGTTTTTCATTTTCTTTCTTTTTTTTTTTTCCAGTGGGAACAATGTGGGGAGCTGTAAAGCGAAAATAAATGATTGTTAATTGAACAACAACAAAAAAAAAGCTGAGCCAACAGAGCTCCCTTCTGCTGCCATAGTATTCGTGAAATGAGATAAAACAGTATGTGTGGAGCATAATGCAGAACATCGGTATTCCAGAACATCAATGGATTTTTTATCTAATTGATGCGGGTAAACCCTACAAAAATGAAGATTGTAACCCACTCATGCTTCGCCCTTTTTGTCCATGCCCTCTCATAAATCTGCCAGGGAGGCCTGTAGGCCTTTTTCACGTGCACTCAATATCGCATCGATGTCAATGAAGGACACACACATCAGTTATCTCCTGACTTCATGATTGTTTGATTTCCCCCCCGCCCCCAAGTCATACATTTCTCTAACGACTTTATATTCCATTTCCTGTATAGGTCCTCATTTGTAATGTGTTGCAGCCTCATGAAAAATTACAGACCTACAATATAGCTCAGAACACTAAATGAAGCTTGTAAAATACTCTTGAGACCTCATCTGCCCCAGTGCAGGAAGGAATTAGTTGACTGCC